AAAATTCTTGGGGGGGTCTCCACCAGGGGTAAGGCTCAGTGCTATCACTGCTATGGCCTGAGTTCGACCAACAGCAAAGGAGCTAACACACATACAGCAAAACAGACCTTTCCAGTCTTGCCCACTGCTCCCCTTAGCAGTGTATTTCAGTAGATCTGCTTGTTCTGCTCCAAAATCTGTCTCTGGTGGATCTTCCCACACCCTGCACCCCAAACACTTCTATACACACACACATACACACACACACACACACACACACTAAATCTCTTAGGACAAATTATCTGAGCTTAATTTTGAAGGCAGTCTAAGTCAGTGGAAATATGCATACATTAGAATCTATTGGGTTGAATTCTAACTCTGTTCCTTACTTAAACTGTAATTTTGACAAGGATAGAATTTCTGAGGCATGCTATCCTAATAGTAAAACATAGTTAGCAACATCACAATAATGTTGTTAAATGTGATTACCATATTACTAAATTCCATGTTACATACATTAAGTATAGGAAAACTATAAGCTATACATGAATATAACAAGGAGCATAACTTCATCATTGGGTGTCTGATACCTAAGAAGCAACTGACAACAAAAGAAAGCCATATGAAAGAAATTTTTGTCAGATAAATGTAATTTATCCATTGAGACTGAAAAGCAATATTTTTAATGTTTCCTTAACAATCCTGATAAATAGCATTGTGAGCACCACCATGTAAAATAAAAGAAATAGTGAGAATGACAGGGCATACTGCTAGAAACCTTTATATTAACTATGTAATCATCATAAGGATCCTATGAGTTAATTAGAAACAATTTACTCTCATTTTCAGATGAGGAAATTCAAGCACAGAAACATTAATAATTATCTCAAAGTAACCAGGTTAGTCAGTGGTTGAATGAGGGTTCAAATCTAGACATTTACTTCACTCTACTTACAGAGAGACCAAACATAATTCATTAGTCTGACAAAATGTGGCATTCCAGAGACTCCTCTAGGTGTACTGAACACAGAAGTGACCATATATTTGTGTACAGCATATATTTAGAGGACTGATATAGCAAAGTAAATAATATAAATTTTGTATCTTGGTAAATATAATTAAAATAATAAGGCAATGAAAAGTGTTTATAAAAGCATGATGGAGGTTAGTACTGATTTAAATGGGGCAGACAAATAAGGATATCTTTGGAGGTAACATGTGAGCAGATAATTAAGAGATGAAAGAAGAAAGTCATATAAAAATCTGAGGTGGAGGGTTCCAGGGAGATACAATCACATGTATAAAAGTTTTTAAAGTGGAAAACATTTCTTTTTTAATTTTGTTTTTGTTTTTATCTTTTGAGTAATAGCAAGAAAGTATGACTGAAGCTGATGATGAAGGCTCATGTTGGACGAAGAAGCAAGGATCAGATTGTATATGACCTTGTAAGTGATGATAATGAGTGAAATTATCTTGAAAGGTTATAAGAATAAAGGTAGAATGGCATGATATATATTTTGTAGATGAGTGTTTCTAACTGGAGAGGAGTGGGAAAATTGGAAACTACTAGAATGGCTCAGGCATGGGATGATTAATTTGGATTAGAACTCAGCATGCAGGTGGTAAGGCATTGAGCTTGAAATACAATTTTATGGTGGTTCCAGGAGACACTGATCTGAATGCCAAGCAAATAAAAAGGAACAGTTAAGTGTGCTGTCTAAATGATGATGTGGCCCTAAGAAAGGAAATGAGAGAAGCAATTAGTTGAGATGAGGAATGTTTCAGTAAAAGACGCTTTTGGTTAGGAACATACAAAGTTCAGAAGACCTTGAGATGCCAACTGCACAGTTAGCGACTATGCACATATGGAGTGTAAAGAGTGTATGACCTCAGATTTGGAATCACTAGTTGAAATGTGGTATTTAAAAGCATGGGTTTGGCTGAGAACACCTACAAAATGAGGAGAGATTGAGACAACACTTGTGAACTGGATTTCTATGCACAAAGATTTAGTGAAAAAGCTATCAAGGAAACCGGGAAGGGGTGTCACTGAGGTTGTGAATAAACAGGAGTATTTTGTACTGGAAGATCCAAACAATTCACACACTTGAGGAAGGAGTCCTTGACAGTTGAATCAAATGCTGTGAGCAAAGCAAGAAGTGAGAACTAATGTTTAGATTTAGCAAGACTAATGTGGAGATAGAAACTTGAAACAGGTTAAAATAAGACTAAGTAATAAAGTGGAGTTAATGGAAACAACTTTCCTAGATTTTTGACAAAGCCATGATAGAACTGGAACAAAAGACCAAACAAACATTTTTTTAAATACATTACATCATGTCTGTATTAACTTTATCAAGGAAGAATAGTGAGAAAAACTGATACTACCAGAGGAAGAAAGAAAGAAAAATGCTGAGTGTATGAGGAGATCTAGAGTAATAGACCAGGGAATATATTCTAGATTTGGAATAAAGTGAGGAAATAAAGAAATGTAAAAACTAGATGGGTAAGGTGAAATTAATGATTCCCATTAAAATTACAGAAAGTTTGAAGTAAAGATATTAGAATAAAGGTAAGAACAGAGAAAAGTGGTTTTCAGAGCAGATGATGCTTGATATAGCTTTTTTATAAGGGAATATTGAGGTGCAAATGGAAGTGATAACATTTAAGTACAACCTATATCCAGGAACCCTAGGGAAAGATGTGGGAGCTGAAAGATCACAGGACAGAGCTTGAAGTATAGTAGAAACTAGACAAGAGTCCATAATTGTCAGACTACCACTCAATATTGTACCTCAAACCAATACTAGAGTGTAATTATTTTTTGACCTCTTAAACTAGGATAACTGAACAGGGTTATATTTCAAGAAGTAAGTGTGTTCAGGTGCAGGGGGAGAGAAGGGCTGGCATCAGTGTGTGATCTGGACAATCTCAGAAAGGTTCTGACTTTACAAAGGCCTGCTCTTGGGTTAATATGCTGTTGTGGCCATTTTTTAAATTCTTACTAATATTTGAAGAAGGGCCTCAAATTTTTATTTTACTTTATATTGTGCTCCACATTTCATATAGATGATAAAAGAAGAAATTTAGAAAGTGTTATTTTTCTCTTAGTTGGACTGATTTTTCATAAGCTCCACTTTTCTGCATTTAGCAGCTATTAAAGTGTTATTAAAGTTCATGATGGAAGTTTTGAAGAAAGTAACTGTCAAACACTTAACTTTCAAAGAAAATTTCCTTTTAGAATCACTCATAAGTAATAAAAATTAGGCTGAAAGTCAGAAATTTAGGGAACGTGAATAGTGAGTACACCTAAGAAGTATTAATTTAAGTTTAAAGGCTTACATTCAATTTAAATAATATTTTAAGAAAAAACTTGTGTTTTTATTTCTAATTATAAGTTTATTACATGTATACTGTGGAAGGTTAGGGAAAGAAATATGAACAAAAAGGAGACACTAAAAGTTACCAAAAAAGTTTTAGTAAGAGCTACCAAACACTTTTAATATTTTGGTGTAAGTCCTTCCACTCATATATATATATATATATATATACATAAATATATATATACTCATATATATCTATATATGCATATAGATATATATATGAATTTTCTTTATATACATAGTTTTATTTGTGCATACTAGATTATATATTAAATGCAATTTAAACCTTGATTTTTAAGTCTAATAATTTAATTAATTAGTCCTATCTTCTAAAATGAAATATTTTCTAAAATCTATTTACAATATAACTTCATGTAATTTTCTATTTCATGGACATATTATTATTGAGCACTTTTCTTTTTTCAATCTCCAGAATTACAAACAATACTAATTTCCTGGAAAATTTTACATATCTCTAAGGATGACTTCGGGTTTAAAAAGTATGATTATTTTAAGGCTTTGATCTATTATTACTGTTCTTAACTCATTTTTATTTTTCAAAGTGAAAAACAAACACAACAAAATACCTACCACCATCTACTGTATGTCCTAACTCCCACCCCTTAACTCATTTCAGTTTTCAATGTCCACTTGTTTATCTTATTTTGTTTTGTCCACTTTTCTTTTTACTTTTCTTATACTGAAAATGCAGGTATAATCATCCAACATTTGTCTGTATGTTTCTAATCAATTTCATTTTTTTGTAATTTCCCTAAGTCTTTCCATTTTGCTGCAAATGGCACCATTTCATCTTTTCTTATAGCTGACTGGCATTCTACAGGTTTTTGATCACTATACTTAATCCATATCTCCAAGTTGTTCATGCATGTTTGCACCAATTTCTAGGTGCAAACTTCATTTTAAATTTGGCCAACTGACTAGACCAAAACTGCTTAGTAGTGCTGGCTTCATTATATAGTAATTAGGATGCCAAAGTTTTCATGTTATTGACCTTTTCTTTTTTATTAATGCCTTTTGGTTATTTTTTTTTTTCTAGGTGGTCTTTGACATTTCTTTTAATGTTTTGTAAAAATATTTATAATTCTGTATCTCTGTCTTTTCTTTCTAGAGGTATTTTTATGTAATAGATGGGTGTAACACAGAATTCCCCTAAATTGTCAAAACCTTACCACGATCCACTAACATATTTGAAGAAATCTATAGGGCTGCTCTGTTTATGTTATTGGGTGGTTTTAAAATCTACTACTTCTTTTTAAAGTAATAGTAATGGTAGCTCTACGAAAAATATTATTATTATTAAATACATTAGAATGTTTTGTTATGTATCTAAATGTATGGCAAACATTGATATTGAGAAAAATAAGGGGAATATGACTTCACAAGTTCACTGAACATTTCAGTCTTTTTCACTCATTTCTCCAATGCAATTTACATAATGAATATTCTGGCAACTCTGTCTGCTTTTCCCCATGCCCTACACTGGAACCATTTCATTAATATTTTCCTTGTGGGTACTGTTAGAAACATACATGGTAAAATGTATAATATCATGATTTTAAAAAAGCCAACAAATGTATAATGCAAAAATTGGGATTTGGATTATTGAATTTTTCTTACCCTTTCCAATGTAATTTCTTCAAATTCATATTCAATTTCTGTTCCATTGACCTAAAAGTGTGAGAAAAGAAACAGAATGATTACTTTCATATTGAGGGTGAGATAGTAGCAATTTTTAATAATACCTGGGGGTCAGATTTCATTCTAGTTTAGAATAAGCCATTTTCTTGGTATTTGTGTCTGCATCTTTTTAAACAATTTAAATATAATCCCAGGTATTCTAAAATATATGAGTTATATCCTACAAAAATAGTAAAGCTTATTGTGTTCTTGAGAGTTTTTGGTTTGGGGCGAGATATAAACATGCATTGTATGTTAGCATGAGGACAAAAATCTAGGAACAATATTACAATTAAAGAGAAGTCATTCCTAATATATTTTTAAATTTCCACAAGTGGACACTAAAATCTGACATCAAAAATCAGTAGGGGAGGAAGGGAGGATAATGAAATCTCTAGTGAGGGTAGCATTAAGAATGTCAAATAAAGAACAGCTTTTCTTTAACTGACTCAAGCAAACTCAGGTAATGTATCCCCATTATCTTCTTGTTAAGTTTATTGGAAACCATGGATCACATGGCCATATCCATGTAGTTCAGCAACAATAAGAATAAAGTACAAAATGTTTGAAATTCCTAGGGAGATACCATTTAACTATCCAAACAATCCTTGAATTGCTTTAAACCTACAGAGAATGTATTTAAATATAACTGGATAACATATAATATAAACATTAGATTTCAACAAATATGCCTATAACATAAGAAGAGCTGCCTCAGAATAGTCTAACAAATACTCAGTTCCATATTTGTCAACTGCAGATTCCTTAGCCAGGCAAAATCTCAGAGCAAGAAAATACTTCAACTGGCTTTTTCTTTTCTCTCATTTGTGTCTTGGCAACGTCATTAGCATTTATAAGCCACCCAGAAAGACTATTTGTTTTTAAACCAAAACTGTAATTCTGAAGGATTTTAGCTCTAGTTTTCTCTTCCTTCCTTAGAAGAATTTAAACATAAGCACTTACAGATTGAGAACCCTATGAGGGAAGGACCAAATAGTCCTGTTACCTAATAGAGCTTGAGAAAAAAGGAAAAGTGATGAAGGAACAAATGAAAAGAGAAAATGAATGACTGAACTAAATAACTTATTTATCTGAATTAAAAGCACAGATATATGTGGGTTCCTTTCCACAATATATTTGGGGGTGGTATCATCAACTGAAGATATAAATAAAACTATAATAAGCAAATACAAAGAATAGCAGTAGATGCTACTTTTGTGTCTACAGTAAGCATGAGCAGTTTTTGATTTTCTAATTACATGAGCTAATTGTTGAAAAACATTTTACTACATTATCAAACAACCAAAAACTTAATTTGACTTTCCAGACTTCAGTAACTTAATGACTCAAAGAAAAGGATTTGATAATGGTAGAAAGCTTTAGCTACTTTGTGGAGACCTTTTCTTCACATGTAAAAGTAAAAAGCAAACCTCAAACTGTCTGCATGTATAGTTAATTACACTTTATTTATGTTTTCAAATGAGCAGTGGTATCTATAAAAATTTACATATTAATTACACTTTATTTATGTTTTCAAATGATTTTCTTTAGTGACTAGAGGGAAGAGACTGAAATAATGTGATGCATTTTCATTCTCTCAGTTTGGCTCGGTGAAGCTCTGCTTCAGTGCTTCTCTAGTGCAAAGCCCTTCCCATTCATTATTCAAGGACTGCAGACTCAGGAGTAAAACTCTTCTTTCGAGAAAAGAAAATAAGCAAGCCTCTGTCAATAACTATCTAAAGGCTCAGGGTGAAAGAAATTCTGTTAGGAAGTGTTTAAATGATACACTATCCATGGCATAAACCAATGGTCCTTCAACACGATTTTTAAAAAGAATAATATAGATTTGAAAATGGGGAATTGGGAAGAGTGATTTGAAAATGGGGAATTGGGAAGAGTCTTAAGTAAAATACATATACATGTAAGTGTATTTTTAGTGGAATACATTGTGTAGTAAAATCTTCCAAAATCATTGCTTAATGTTTCTATAATCATATACACTGACTTCTAGATACTAGAAACAAAATAAAAAACATATCTTAATTGATATAAAAAGTTAGATAGGCTTATATTTGCTAATGGAGTTATTCATTTTAAATACCCCCAATAAAGTCATTAGCTTAATTTAAGAGTATCTTATAAGAAGGAAAGATGATATCTGGGTTGGGAGGTACCTTGCTTTTAAAAGAAACACTCATGGGGAATGGGACCAAAAACGGGGGGGGGGGAAGGGAGGGAAATGCACGGGACTATGGTGGTGGCACAGGGGTGATTTGGTGATGGGAAACCCATGGGGATTACAATTGAGATGAAAAAAAAAATGTGAAAAATGATGTAAAAATAAACTTTTTAATAAAAAAAAATGACAAAAAAAAAAAGAAACACTCATGACTACATTAATGACTTCTCAATCATTAATTAAGAAACATTTAACACATAAAATAAAAGGTATCAGTGGGGGAATTCAGGAAAAACATTTCAGTCTATTCTTCATTGCTAGGAGAGCATGGTCTGTATTCTGTTTAAGGATCCCTAAGACAAGAATGTTGATAAGTTCATCTTGCAAATACCTAGGGTAAAAGATAAAATAGAAAGAAGAACTAAGAATATCTCCATTTTAGTCAAAAGTATCTAAATGTGAGCAGTGGTATCTATAAAAATTTAGTAACTTCTTAAATGAGGGCAGCAATGCAAATTTAAATATTTTTGCACAATTATGTAGAGGAATGATGACTTTCTGAATGGTACAGAGTTCATTTCTAGCTATAATTTAGTGATTCTCAATCAGAAAACAAAACAGATAATGAGTTATCTTTCATCCTCTTCTGGTAATCTTATATCAATTGCCTTTAACTTATCAATTTTTGTCTTTCAATTAGCCCTGAAAGAGTTCTCTCAAATCCATTTCTCTGTTCTTGATCAGTAATGCTTCCTGTAAAGTTTCAGCAGCCTAGAGATGTTTGATGCTATTATATTGGGACCCCAAAAAGCTGTATGAACAGGGTTCTACTTATCTCAGGCCTTACCCTGACTGTCATTTAGAGTGTGTTCTCCTACTTGAAGACTAAATAGGAGGCATGACTGCCAGTTTTGAAGACACAAGAAGTCAATAAACATAATGGAATTTTCCTGTTTTGAATTGTGTTCTTCATGATTTTTCTGAACCTAATGGTTCTGTGGTAACAGCTGGTAGGTTTCCATGGTGGCCAGAAAATCAAATGGAGGCCACATGTTGTCCTGTTCTGGGCATGTAGCCTTCCTGGCATCACATGGAAGTTAAAACAGAGTGACCCACTCACATTCAAACTTGGTATTTAAAGCTCTAATTTCATAAACTTTGGATGTTTTACATACTTCTTTCTCTGATAGCCTTTAAATTCATTCTTATTTTTTTTATTTTTTATTTTCTTCAACTCCATAGTCACCACCTACCTGGACAATGATTTAGTTTAGTTTTGAGATGTATTTTTATCTCCTCAGAATAGATTTTTTATGAATAACATGTGCAAACTATTCCAGGTTTTAATGCTCTTTAATTAGAATCTTAAGTAATAAAACAAAGTTTTTGTTTGTTTGTTTGTTTGATTTTTGCCATCCTTGCTGATTTTTAAGGCTAACAACATCAGAGGTGATTTAATTTTTATATAACCTCATGCCAAATATTGTAGCCACTGGAAATAGGTAAAACAGAAATATCAACATGCTGGTTTATTTAGAATAAACAATTCTACCCAACAAACAATTATTGAGCATATATTATATGGCAAGCGGTATGACAAAAAAGAATAAACTATTTTACAATATGACCCATATTTTCAAGAAACATAGAGACACTAAACATAAACATATTAAACATTCTTATAGAGACATAAGAAACATACTAAACATTCTAAACATTCAGAAACATACTAAACATTCTTATAGAGACACTAAACATAAACATATTAGGGTCATGTACAAATGTGACATCCACTATATAAGTAGATTAGTTTCACATCCCCATTTCACTATAGGCAAGGTCTTTCAGTTCTTTTTTTTTTTTTTTAGATTATTTATTTTTATGATTATTTATTCAGACAGGAAGTGCAGGGGCAGTAAGAGGATTCACCAGAAACAGAGGGGAGCAGAACAGGCAGACTGATGGAGTACACTGCTGAGTGGAGCAGCAGGCGAGACAGGAGGGGTCTGCTGTACCATGAGATCACCTCCGGGCCGGGGATGGAACTCTCACTGAAGTGCCTGTGGCCAGCTTGCACTGTCACACTTTAACCTGTTGCACCACCAGGAACCTGGTCTTTCAGTTCTAATGACTATTTCTTGTATACATAAATTGGATTTCAGTAGTACAGAATATGATCTGATGATGCAGTCATTTACCTTTTATTATAAGCAAGTACGATATAGTAAACAAGATATCTCTGTATCTTATGATTTAAGCATAAAATCTGTCATTAGTCATTAGGAGCTATGTGATGGTCATGAATACCCCCAGAGAAAGACAGGACCCATGTCACTGTGTTTCATCAGTAGCTACAACATATGACAGAGTCTACTGCATGATAGCACTCTGAAAAAACAGTGAATAAATGAGATTTTCTAGGTGGGTGAAGTCTGATGATCTCACAGAAGATCATGGTTGCTACAGAGTCTGGGTCTCTTGCCCACAAGTTCTTCTCTTTCCATAAATACTTGCAATACAGAGTTAAAAACATCATCAAACACCCTGTAAAGTGTGTGCGTGCGTGCACACACACACACACACACACACACACACTTGTATTTCTCTCTCTTAGTTCTTTGTCAACATGTATCTTCCCTTTCCTCTTATTGGTGGATGTCTATAGCAAATGTGTCTTACTGTCTTACTTTAGAATCTCTTATGCACACTCATTTATATCTCTTATGCATACACTGTTATGATCTGTAAGTAAGAACATGGGTTAATAAGTAAAAAAAAAAAAAAGTTCTGAATCACAGTTCCAATATTTATG